AGAATCTTTTGGGGTTTTTTTTTTTTTTTTGGTCTTTTCTTGTATTTTCATTCAATTCTCATTACCTTAAAGCACCTGAGAATTCTTTTTATTTTTTTTTGCATCCATTTTTTTTTTTTTTTTTCCTCAATTCTCATTACCCTAATGCACCTGATATTTTTTTGTTTGCATTTTTTCCTAATTCTCATTACCCTAATGCACCTATTTTTTTTTGTATTCACCAATTGTCATTGCCCTAATGCACCTCAGAATTATTTTTTTTTTGCATTTTCCTTCAATTCTTATTACCCCAATGCAACTCAGAATTTTTTTTATTTTTTTTTGCATTTTCCCTCAATTACCCTACTGCACCCATTTTTTGTATTTTCCCTCAATTCTCGTTACCCTAATGCACAACAGATTTTTTTTGGAGGGGGGGCATTTTTCTTAAATTATCATTACCGTAATGCACCTGATTTGTTTATTTATTTATTTTATTTCCCCCAATTTTCATTACCCTAATGCACCTTGGATTTTAGTCTTTTTTTTTTTTTTTCATTAGTTCTCATTACCATAATACACCTGATTTTTTATTTTTTCCCCCCACAATTCTCATTCCCCTAATGTACCTAGGATTTTTTTCCACTTTTTGCAATTTTTCTAGTTCTCATTTTTTATTTTGTTTGTGTTGTTGTTAATTTGTTCTAAATTGTCCAGGCAATACACCTGACATCTGGTGTGTAATTAATTATCGTCGTGAATGAATCTCAATGGTCTTAAATTAAGCTCGATTTTCTTTACGCCAGAGTATGTTCTTGACAGGGTTTTGTGAGGTTTACCCGTTTAGAGGCTTGAAAGGGTTTACGCTCTCAATGATTCAAACACTTCAAGGAACTGTTGAAACTACAGGCTCTGTCCGGGAACTACAAGTACGCATGTGATCGAGCATATAATCTGAACTATAAATGGCAAGACTTTGTGTGTACGCGTGTGTGTGTTATTATTTTATTTTTTTGATATGGTCAACTGCTGCTATCAAAGATAGTCCCTTCATTTTTTTTCTTGCCGTCTCTTTGGAGAAGAGTAGGAGAAGTCTGTGAAAAGACATCCGCACAAAAAGCTGAACGCAGTGAAATATGTGTTGTACATTTACTTGATATTTATTACAATTATTTATGACTGCGTTAACTTTATCCAGTCTTACCTCTGCGCATCTGGAACAAAACACTGGTGTGTGAATGAATCTACAGAGGTGTTCAGGAGTTTCTGTGTCACAAAAATAAAACATTGATGTATTACAGAACCGTCTCGTGTGCATAGCATTCCTGTTTAATACTTTGATTTGAATCGGCCTGTTTTTTTTACTAGTCTAAATTCAGGGAAAACCAAAGAAAGAAAACATGTTTTGTATGGGTACCAGCTCATGTTGGGGTAGAAGGGAATGAAGAAGCAGATATTTTAGATAAGAAGACTTAAGAAAAACAGAAATAGGACTCCCCTTCTTTATATTGCACTCCTCATTGATGCTCCACACTCCATCTCGGAGTGCAATGCACTATAAATTAGAAGAAGAAGAATTGTTCCAGTGGCTTTGTAGGAACCTTTACGTTGTGGAGGTGTTTTTGTCGAAAACATCAGCACATTGTGTTTCCGGCGATGGCTTCAAGTCGAGGGAAGGTCAGCGTGATGCTGCGGCTTCTTCAGGCGAAACGTACATATGATTTCATGTGTAGATGATAAACTGCCAGCACCAATCTGTTTGTTGTTTTTAATGTCCATGTGAAGGGTCATTCCTTCAGTTCGGTGTCAGTTCTTAGGAGGAAAAACTAAATATTTAAACGTTTGGTTAAAAGATAAATTGTGGACTTTTTTTTTTTTTTTTGGAGGTTG